TAAATGATTGGTTTTGAACAATAGATGTCTTTCACATCCAGTTAGAACAATAAGTAATCCCCTTTAAATGGCAGTTCCAAAAAAGTGTACTTCTACATCAAAAAAGCATATTCATAAAAATATTTGAAAAAAGAAGGGATATTGGACAGCCTTAAAAGCTTTTTCCTTAGGAAAATCTCTTTCTACTAGGAATTCAAAAAGTTTTTTTGTATAGCAAACAAATAAATAAGTAATAAAAGTTTGGAATAATCGGAATACACTCAAAAATCGATCCATTTTCTATAAAAAAAAAATAGAAAAATTACATCTTGATCAATTTGAATATAAAATGAACTAGTCTGTTGGAGTTTTTGGTATGATATCTATGGCGCTGATTGTTTGTGGAAATGGCAGAAATGCATACATACTAATAGCTTCAGTAATTTGAGCATTCAAAAAATTTTTGAGAGAACTTTTGCTTCATGTATGATATTTCTAAAGTCAAACAAGATAGCTGATGTTATTACAACACTTGCACTTGACAAAAAAAAGGGCCAAAAATAGGCCCAATTTACAATAATCCAAAAGCTACCTAATGGTCCTGATCTAAAATTCAATGAACAGCAACTGCTTCAACCAAAAAATATGTGAATCTACAATTCTTCAAAAACATGGCAAAACAGGGGATGTATTGCAATTGTTTCAACCAAAAAATATACAGATCTAAAAATCTTCAAAAACACAACAAAATAGACTTGAACTGCAACTGTTTCGTCCAAAAAATTGAACATAGAGATAAGCTGCTACTACTTCAAGTTTGAACAAGCTACTGCTACTGAAACAACAGGCTTGAACTGCTATTGTTTCAACCAAAAAATATGCTAATCTGCATTTCTCAAAAACACAGCAAAACAGGCTTGCACATATGCTTTGCTAGTGTTCCAACAGCCTCTACTTCTAGGTTTCAAGTGGATCTTGAGCGGCACCATCTAGCTCATCCAGAAGCCTATGAGCCTGCAAAAATAATTTTCAACAGTCATTTCCCAATAGCCCTTAGAATTAGTTCAAAATAATTTATCACTCCAACAGCTCCTAAACTCACTGTTTGTTTTCTTCTTTTCACACCAGCCATCCTATTTCTCCAAGCTTGTGCTTGTGATAAAAAGTTTGACCACATGTATGTTCTGGCCCCATGGTCCTGATTACAAAAGCCTCAACAATCCAGCTCCTTAGCCGTATAAGTGAACCATGCACACTTCTTATTCTTGCAACTTGTCCTAATTCTATTCTTGTCATTCTTGGCCTATTTATGCTCCTTGCCTCACTTAATAGAATAATGTCTCACTGTTATCTTGAATAGTTTCTTGTTATCAAAAAGTAGACCCACAAAAAACTTTGGATCCTTCATGTCCCTTTCTGGTCTAAATCTTACATACTGTGGTTTCTTTACTAAAGTATCTTCATCCGAGGAATAACAGTTGCCATTGAACTCCTTTGTGTTCACAGAATTTGACTCTTCATTGATAGGTATTTGTTCTCCAGCATAAATGCTGAAATCAACATAAGCACTATCTTGAATAGCAGCTTTTCACTTGCCCCTTTGCCTTTAATACGAACTGCATTCTTACCCTTCACATCAGCTGCATTTTTGCCCTTCATATCAGCTGCCATTTTACGCTTCTCATCAGCTGCACTTTTACTTGCTCCTTCAGCTTCACCAGTAGCTTGTAGATTGCTAATTTGCTGCTCCGGTGCCCTATCAACAGTAGGAATACAATTCTTGTATATTGCACCATCATCATCCTTACTAAAGTCATAGTCGCTATCATGAAAACTTTCACAATCCTCAATTGTGTTTGACCGTGCACCATTCTTACCCTCCTCTTCCTCCATTTTCTTCAAACGCAGCAGCTTTTCACTTACTATTTTCCATTTCTCTTATATCTTCTTTTACAATTGCGTGAACTAGCACTTCTACAATCCCACTTAAGAAGTCATCGAATATGATATCCACATACAACAAATCATCATTTCCTTTTGCAGATTCATTTTCAACCCCAAAGCACTGTTCACTACCATCAACAAATCTAATATGGAAGTCATGAACCACGTATACTTTTGCATACCCATTTTACTTCCCTATACAAGCCATAGCTATGACATCATCCTCAACGTCTATTTGGCTAAGTCTTAATTTGCCATCTCAAATTGGAATTCTGTACATGTATTTTGCATGTTTATGTCACTCAAGAAATTCACAGAATAACATCACAGCAGCTATATTCACTCTCATGGCTAGAACCTCCTCAAAAATCTCCATACTGCCTCCCAAATATTTTTCTTCTGGTTCTTTGACATATGCCCCCACCATAGTAAATATGTAGATTGAATGCATCCAAGTCCTCGTCTGTTTATTTTTTCATAAAATAACATCAGTCACTATTTAATTTATGCAACACATGAAGTCTGAATTATCATTGTCTACCTTTTCAGAAACATGAACGCAACAACCCTAACTTATTTTAGATCCAGGGATCACATGAACCCCTTATAAAAACAAACAACCAGAATAGTGGTCCAATGGTCCTTGCCCCCACAAAAAAATTTGACTTCATCCTATTGCTTCATTTTAATACATCCACTTAGAAGTAAGACATTTTCACAAACTCTCTACTAGCCTGATTAAGTTTAAACTATTGATTCATACAAAAAATTTTCATATTTAAGTGATTTCACTTACCACACCCGCTAGATGCCCCTTCTTTAACATTGTCTTGCTTGTGCATTTTCCAGCCTATTTCTTCCATCATTTGAGTCTCAACACCATGTACTGCTTTATTCTTTATCTCACTACAATCATTTGCCCAAAATCTGATGTGTTTAAAAAACCTTGCTTTTTTCTTCTGCAAGTTTGATTTTTTTACCTTATTTTGTCTGAAGGATTTTGGTGTGTAATTTATCGGATTACACATTTAATTATCGACCTGTCAATGATGTTCCAAAAATACCCCTCTTTTGTCAGTCAATTAGGGGTTAGGTTCGATTTTTTGGTGGCGCCGCCGCAGCACTCCTTAATTGAAAATGAAAAATAAGTTTAGATACTAAATTGGATAAAATTAAAAGATAGAGACCAAACTGACACTAATAAAAAAGGCTAGGGACTAATTTAGCAATTTTTCCTTCTTATTAGACTCAAAATGTCAGTCATTTTTCGTTAAATAAATTTTTTGATTCTTCACTTTTGAAATATTAACTTTACATTTCTTACAAATTCAAATTGGTAAAATTTAGTCCCAACATAGATTTTTTACCACCTTTTAATCCGAATCACTATGTGTTTCACATGTGATCATTTTTTAAGTACAAAAGATCAGATCCCACACATTTAGAAACAAAAATGAATACAGATTGGCTCAAATCTTACTTTCTTATGATAAAAATAACTTAAAGTGAAAAAACGAACATGGATTCAGTCATTTATTTAACTATAAATGATACCTAATCTTTTTGCCTCTGAAAAATAACTATGTTTGATTCACATAATGAATTCTAGATAAAAAGTGATCGAAAACCTAAGTTGAGGCTAAATTTACTAATTTGAATTTATAAGGGGCATAAAATTAATATTTTAAAAGTAAATGACGAAAAAATTTATTTAATAATATATAAGAGATGTTTGAACGGTTTTCCTTTTCTTACTTTAAAAATAAACGTGCCATGCAATAAGAAAATGGATTAAAACCAAAAAGTCATATGTGGTTTAGCGAATATACAGGAAAACTCTCCGTGATTTCAAAATATACAATTCGAAACTCTTGATTTTAACTAAATTCAAAACATGACTGAAATCGTCAAGACTAACATGGATAGACGAAATGACAAAAGTACCCTAATATATGTAAGGGTAAAATGCAGAAAACTCTCATATGATTTCAAAAAATATAATATTCATCTCTTTCATACATAAAACAGTTGTTCTGATTTGATTAATATTTGTACATGGGATGATACCATAATCACGAACCCCCCCCCCCCCAAACAATCATCCATTGTACATGTAAAGTGCAACATCCCTTTTGATGGCTTTTTCAATTTTAATAATTTTTACTTTTTCTTTTTGCAAACACTCACAAATCTTGTACTGGTATCGTAGAATCTAGTGCTGCTGCCCACCCGAGAGCTTGAAAAGATATAAGTAATTATTTTGCAAAATTTTCCTTCACTTTGTACAAAGAAAAAATATTGAAATTCTTAAAAAAAAAAAAAAAAGACCTTCTTAAATAATATTATAATAGCAAAAATTCAAATTTAAAACTTTTACCATACGCAAAAGTAGTGTGCATACGACTGACGGTCGATTTCTCTCAGGAAGCTTCTCTCTCTTTTCAATATATTTTCTGAAATTTTTGAATTAAATCCAACTTATATGTTTCAAAACCATAGAAGACTTTTCTGTATGATGAGTTAACCAATAGGGCTTTTTGGTGAAGGGTAGAATAGGTATATTAAATGAAAATTAATTATAAAAAACTGTTTTCCGGTACTACTAGTTGCAAAACAAACGCATGTGCTTCAAACATGTTAATTTTGATAATTTCCATTGTCTTTTCAATTTCATTTAAACCATGAAGTGTCAAATTGCATATTTTTAAATCACGGAGAGCTTTTCTACATCTTTGCTTAACCACAAGTGAGTTTTTTTGGGTTTTACCCTAAGAAAATTACTGTTAAAAGAACCAGGCAATGGGCATTCATTGGTAGCTAGTGATTAATAACGATGCTATCCTTCAGAATCCAGTCTTACAAGGACAGTTCAAGAAAACATACTGAACAAAGCTGTGACAAATCCAGCAGCCTGCAGGTGTTACAAGTGTAAGGATTGCATGCTCAGAACTCCACAAAGACAATAAACCGAAAGCTGATGTGTAACAACAAATCCCAAATTCCATAAGCAAGAATCTGAGTGCGTGAGTTTACCCAAAAGTCAGCAATTGCCTTTTGGGTAAACTGGTAAAATTACCTTAGATTCTGTGTGCGTGTGTTTCTTTGCGCTGTTGAAAGAATAAGCAAGAATCTAAGTCAAAGCATTGGTACAAACAACCAAGACTCACACAACTGAGCATTCATGACAGAATTCAATGTTTAAGATGCCAAATCCAAGATTACTCCTACCGTTGATGTTGTTAAATTTACATGGATGGAAGAGGGAAAAGAAGGGAGAAAACGGAAACTGATGGAGAACTGAAAGCTATAGCACGCTCCCCATCTGTTCTTTGTTCCTCCAATCATCCCCTCCGTACAGACAAGTAACCAAGCCAAGAATGAATTGCCTGAGCATTTTCATGCTGCAGAGATTGATCCCTTCAGTGGGTAAGATGGGTCAGCACCTCCACTGTCAACCATCATGGATGAGATGTCTTCATGACCACCTCAACAGACATGACAGCGCCGGAGACACTTCCATACCCTGAAGGAGAAGCTTCTTAATTGCTAGAAGCAGCCCCACGTGGGGCTTGGTTCACCAGCAAGCTCCAACTCTCCTGATTGAAATGCTGTCTTCCTCGCTCACTGCCACTGGATTGTTGATAATAAAATGATGAAATACCACGGCCATTGCCATTTGAAAGCATCTGCTCTTTCTCTCGCAACTGATCAGAATATCCATTACAGTCAGTTGATAGATGCTCAGAACCTGATGAGTTGCCAGATTGTGTTGGCACAGCATCCCCACACTTTGTCTGCTCCTTTGATGCAGATTTGGACGATCTTGATTCATTGTTTTCGAGCTTTTTGGTATTAAGGAAACGACCACCAGAACCCCTGGCTCTTCTCATAGCATGTTGATGCCGAGATTCGTGAAGATATGGCTGAAACAATAAAAAGAGAGCAACACTTTCAAGAGATAGCAAGAATAAACTCTGGAGCCAACTCATGAACAGTAGTATCTGATATTTGGCAGTCAAAAATGGACTTTGCATTTCATATCACACATATTGGTGTTGCACTTTTTATTACACCTCGTATTCAAATGAAACTTATCCACTCATCTAATATTTTATTGATTGTTGGTGAATCATGATCCCTCACTGATATTAAAAGTAAGGAGACGTGTGTCAACTTTATAATAGGTGTAATAGGGAGTGTAACAGCAATTCTGTAACAGGAAATCCAAAGCCGAAAATTTGGAAGAGTGCTAAATGCAAAAGCCCACATAAACAAAAAGGAGGCAAGGAGAAAAAGAAAATCATATAGCAAATAGACAGAAGAATAATATGTAAAATTTTATTACAGACAATACATACTACTTTTTCTTGCACAAATATTTTAAATGTTTGTAGTCCAGAATGTTGAAAAAACCTAAGTACTCATGTAATAAATGTATTGAAAACTGAAAACCTTAATGCACTTCTGCTGCAGCTAAACAAGCACCAATTGGGAAAACAAGATCAAGAGAACAAACCACAGGCATGTACAAGACCAATATCAAATTTCATTCTTTTGTTCATATCATGAAATGAGTTTCCAAACCAAGAGTGAATTCGTTATATCATCTACACTCAAAGCAACATAGCCAATTTCTTTGAAAAAAAAATCAAACAAAAATTTCAGATTAAATAACAAATCTTGAAACCCCAAATAGAACTTCTAAGTACACAATTATTTATATCAGTCAATACAATTATTCCATATCAGCCTTTCTACAAGGATGGCTTAAAACATTTCATTTCATCAAACGTCGAGATGATCTTGCTTCAGAACAGAGATGAATATGTCTGCCACTGAAAGCTGCTGCTGCTCATCCACAACAGGATAGTGCAAAGGCAATTGTGTACCTAAAAAAGGAAGCTCCAAAATTCGAATACAAAGAACCCCCAAAAGAATACCCACATTCAGGCATGAGAGGAAACCTAGTTTAATCACTTAAAGTTCCCTCAATTTCCAATACTGCAGCTGCTGAAAAAGTAGCAATTAAGGTCTACCAGAAATTTAGTTCCTGGATTAGTGCTTCCCAACTTGACAAAAAGGTTACTGGGATTATAGTATCACTCAAACTTGCAGACGAATTGTCAGAACATGGGCATACATTATGGTTATTGGACTTTCCAGGTTTCTATTTTGAAGTTTCTGTCCTTGTCTCCCTTTCTTTCCTTATCCTATTGAAAGCCTAATACTTTCACAATTGCATACCAAAATATGTTCCCTCTGTTACTTGGCTTGCACTCCGTAGGTCCCTGCTTTTAGCTTCTTGAAAGGAGGAAAAAGAAGTAGGTAAGCGAATTAAGGTCAGGCATAACAACCCAAAGTCCAACCTGGTTTAAGCAATTTTATTACAGTGCCATTACTTTGATTGGGCGATCCTGGGCCATATTGCCTAATACCAAACGAAGTCAGCCTAATGTTTAATGTTTCAAGAACTTGTCAAACCCAAGCCGAAAACCATTACATTTTGTAAGAGATTATTATGGCCAGGAAACTAGATAACTCCTTGATGGTTATGTTTATCTTAAGCTGTCAGTTGACGTAAGAAGAAAACTTAATCCCGCCATTTGCTCTTTAACCATCAACTTTATAATAGTATTTCCAATCTTTTTCTTCCTATATATTTTGTCACCCGAGGAGCCAAAAACCATTACATTTTGTCAGCATTATTTTCCCCACTAATCAAAATACATGGGATGGAGAAGAACCAAGAACAACGAGATACCTCAGCAGTGGTGCTATTTAAATAGCTAGACACTATATAAAAAGTTACAGCCACTAAATGAAACTTACCTTCCTCCCTTTCATAATCTTTTTCTCCATCTCTGCTTTAGCACGTGACTGCCTTCTCCTCAGTATTCCATGATACTGCTTTGCATTAACGTAGACTGGTTCTTCCTCCATCTGAAGAGGCAGAGGCATTCTCGTCTGATGAATCCCAAAATACTGAGGATGCACCTAGCAGCAGGCAAAAAAGTTTACAAACTTTCAAACTGTACTAAGAGGTGTGCAACAAAACCAGATGCTTCACAAACTCAACACAAGCAAGCAGTGAGGAAAAAAAATAGTAGTATTCTGTAGATACATGATGTAACCAGATATGCAAATGACTACAAAACTTAAAATGCCCACAAAATAAATGATAGACAGCCCATTTTTCTATACTCCCACCCCCAACTCCCCCCTCCCCCCAAGAGGGGAAAACCCCCCCCCCCTTCATTTTAATTGATGGATATACTTCTTGCTTTCTCATGTTCTATAACACGAGGTAAACATCAAAATTTTACTAAAGGAGCTCTCATAGGAAGCCAAAATCAGCAGAAACCAATTTTCTTCACAAATGTCCTCAATGCAAGTAAAAGCTGATGTATCTACATAAAAATGCATATGCAAACACAGAAGTCCCCGCTAGCGTAGAGCAGCACTTTAGACCAGTCAGCTTTTCCCAATTATAGCCATTAAAATAACGAAAGCTCAGCAGCAAAATTGAAATTTATGGAATGCACAGACATTAAGGAGAGAGGAAAGGATAAACAGAAGAAAAGGTACAGGCTCTCAAAATTAGATAGTTAATAGCTTGGGTAATGCTTCTGTTTGTTAGAGATGAAAAACTGCTAAGGACTTTTTCAGTTCTAAGAGAGGCAACTCATATAGAGTTCATAGAACAAGTCACAACCTGCCTATGCACAGTAACACATGAACAACCATGAAGCCTCCGGATGAAATAGAAAATGAGAACTTATCCTTACCGGAGCCCCATAAGTAATTACTCCCCCATATGCTGGGTCTGGATATGGGTATGGTGTCAACATCTGCAAATAAGATTACAAGAGCACAGTTTTAAGATGAAAGGCAAAAAGAGAATATTTGAGAAAATCCTTAACCCATATCAATCAATAACAAATCTTTTAGATTTATGGTAATGATGCATTAGTTGTTCATATCTAAATAACCTTTGTGTTTCTTTCAGTGTGCTTAGTGTTCACTCTCCTTTTTTAGTTTCGAATAGAGCGAGGCGTGTATTTTTGGTGAGGAAAAAGGAACTAGAGAGAGAGAGAGAGAGAGAGACTGACAATTGAATGGCCAACAAGTTCCATTTGAGAAGGGGAATCAAGATGCCCACTCATAGGTATGGTTGATGGTGCATGTTTGACTTGCTGTGGTCCTTGACCGCCACTTCCATTTGATTCTGTAAACAACCATTATAAACTTGTACGGTAAAAATGAATGAAATGTACCATATGGAATTATTTACCAGACAAAAGCATGCAAACCTATTGTTTTGCATGTTTTGCATGCACTTTATTTGGGAAACTTAAGTAGAAGTTATCATCACAAAAAGAAACACAAACATAAATCTCATTGGGAAGCAATGGATGATGCACATCAGAAGTCAAGCACAATAAGAAAGACTAATTTTCCCCAATATTGGGGTTGGGGATGGTAGGTATTAATGGTAGCTTGTCATCTGAAGTAAATTTGTTCCAAACTGCATGTCACTTAGACTTGTGTATCACATCTTCACCCAAGGTTTCAAGGTACCCAGAATTTTCCAAGGCCAAACAACTAATTTCCACCTGTTTGAACAACAGTATACTGTCATGAAGGCAGAGATCTTGATCAAACAAAATGATATTACCATCATTATAGGCTTAAGGAAAAAACCATCCCTGCAGAAGGAAAGTAACAGGAAGGCAACCAACATCTTGCAGAAAGTAAGTATCAAGGAGGTAACCATAAAGCTATAAATTTTTGTGAAAAATGACGATAGCACAGTGACAATGAAATGAGAACTCAGAGATCTCATTTCACTGATCTAAATCACTCTGTGAACTAAAGCATCATGAACTCCAGTCCTGTGCACGATTGCTGGCCGGTAAATTTCTTTACCGGAGTAATGACTTCTAGTGGAGCTAGATTTTCTCATAGCGCTTTAAATTACAAAAACTAGCTCAGTAAGTCCTTTCTTTTTGGTCTTGTACTAAAGTACAAGGGAAGACTCTCTAAGTTACCAGATAACTTAAACATCAGAAATGTTTGAAATCTCAGAATAAGCTATATATTGTTTCCCGAGGTTATGTGAAATATAATGCTAGAAATTTCAACTGTCAGTTTCTTTGCAGATTATAGACAATTAAACCTGCGAAATTGAACTGAACTTAATACCATTGACATTTCTCAAAACATCATGAACATCACAAAAGCATTCACTGCTATAGCTGAGCCATCTTCATTGAGTACCTCAAATGAATTGGTATTATCCAAGAGAACCAATTCAAACTAATAATTTGTTGGACCATCAGAACAATTTTTTTCCAAAACATTACTAGACCTCAAAATCTTAAAGGTGAGATGATAAGGAATAAAGGATTCCATGAATGTAAAATTGGATAGTTTTACCAAATCTAAGCCTTACTTAGAAATGTAGGCAAAAGACTGATGATGCAAGAACATGCATCATGAAATCAATTGCAGCTCAAATCATGTTAAATTTGGAATTTAAACGTCCACATTCAGCATTAATCTGTGAAAGCTTCTAAATGTTAAAGGTTGATGTTAGGAGGCAATTAGTTTGAAAAGCTGAAACATTCAAAAATGTGTTCCTTGCAGGATCACTTTCATGTCTTAGCAAGTCCACTAGGAACCCCCATACCAATTATATCACTTCTAATGTTGTTGGGAGCTATATAAGCGAGCTACTTTCATACTTAAATCAGCAAGCCATAAGGTCTTGAGCCTTTAGAAGGGCGTGAAAAAACCAGGGTCTTGAAGGAGTGCCATAGAATGACTCTTATGTTAGGACAAAATGCGAATCACCAAGATAACAATTTCCATTTCCTAATCCTGTCCAAAGTTAATATATTTTGGGATGGTTTATATCTTGTATTCTCTATTTTGTCCTGTTGTTCATTAATGAACCAAATCAAAGGATGTCCAAATAGAAACCACAAAAAAATAGTCAATATTACAGTTGAGCGGCAAATCAAAAGAACATCCATATTGGCTTTAATGTCATAGTCAAATGGTTGCCAATATCGTGCTCAAACAAAATCAAATCATCAAACTATGCAACATACTAATACATAAAGTGTAATTTCTCATACTGCACAGGAATTAAAATTAGATGAAACAAAGAGTCATATCACACAAAATTTGCATCCGCACTAAAGTATGCAGAATTAGTACCAGAAGGTGGAGCCACACTGGTGTCCCTTTCCTTGGTGACGCTTTCACTGACAGAACCATTTACACTTTCCCCTGGAGAAGGCAGGCATGTACTTTCATAACCCCGCCACCAAGGCTGTGTGTAGACTCTTGATGAGGTAATATTGTGGACTTCAGTCTCAAGCTGCCTACCTTCATTTCTAGCTATAGTGGGCATTATACTTCCTCCCAAATAAGCAACCAGCTATAAACACCAATTACTTAAATAAGAACAATAAAGAAATCAAAATAGGGTCTTACAATTTAACCAACTGATACTAATGCATCTTTTAATTTAAAAGTCAACTATGTAAGCCTAGAGAGAGAGGTGGAAAATACTCCATTCTATTTCTAGGTCCCAGCTTACATATTGATACACACATGTCGGTGTCAACTCGTTTTCTTGGACAACCAACTTATGCAGTATGTAAATGTTCGTGCTGTCAAAATTGCCAAAAGAGGAGTTTAATGCAGCCTACCTGGATCCATATATCTCCATGGTAATCCCGTCGCTAGCAAAATAAGTATCAACTAGCTAGAATTTTAAGTCAACAAAATTTCAGAGTTAATCTAAATTTCACTATTAACTACAGCTAAAACTTTCCATATTTTCTAATTTTCTAACTTCCAGCTTTCATAGCCACCTAGAAAACGAAACAACCATAATCCAGTGCCTAAGCCTCTTGTCACTGAGCATATGTATTAGATATTTTAACAAAAATTGACAATAAATCACCCCTCCAAAGATTCACCTGGAGCTAAAGCCTGAAAACTTACAAAAACAATTTACATTAAACTGAAAGACACTAGAACGAAGTGAAATTCAAAGATCAAAATTTACACCACTCTAATCCCATTGGACCCTTAATTCTTCCGTAATAACAAACCATATTTTACAAATTACTTCAAATAAAATGAAAAGTTGCAATATTAAGTGAACCCTTTTTTCAACCGACAAGATTAAACCAAACCAACATCTCAATTTCCATTTTCACTCAAGCTTTCAGCTTTTTTGTCTTAGTATGTCAAATTTAATATTTTTTCCCCTGTTTCTCCTTCTGGGTTCCAATCATTTTCGAGGGCAGTCAAAACAGAGCTAGAAATCAAATTTCCCAGTCAAAAATAACTCAAGAAAAAGAAAATCATACCCAATCAGAAAACCCTGATTACTAACTTGATGTGAAAAAGAGGTGACACCAAAAAATAACGAATAAAATGAATTAAATAAATAAAGACTTACTTTTTAAGATGAGAGCAATGGATTTAAAGCAAACCCTTTAAGGAATTTGGTCTGATTTTGAGTTTGAAAGACTTTATTTCGAATCCATTTTGCTCTGTGGAAAGCCCAGCACCAGCCAGTAGTCGATGTGCACAGTGTTCTTGCATGTAGTATTTATTTTGTTATAAAAAGTTACAGAATTAAAAAAAAAAAAAAAAAGAATTCTAGAGAGAGAGAAGAGTGAATTTCTTTTCCTTTTATAATAAGAAAACAATTTTAAGGTTTGGAATTATTTATGTTTCACGCCAATGTCACTTTCTGGGATGTCTGTTTTAGTTGTTGATTTATTATTTTATTTTATTTAAAGGGTGTTTGATTACCCCTTTGGATCAGGAGTTGAAGATTTTGAGGCCAAAAATGGCCTTGAACCTTCTTCTATTTACAGTCATGACATTTCCTTGTTGAGATGTAGTAGTGGGATGTAAAAAGCCAAGGTCTTTCTGCATTAATTTGGTGACATGGTTATGGAGAACTAGAGGAAGAGGCAAACCCCCAAATTAAAATCAAGCAATGCAAATTAAAAACAAAGTTTTTTTTCTCCTCAATGAAAGGGTAGGATTTATTCTTTTTTATGACAAAGGCAGAAGTTATTAGAAGTTTGATTTGCCAAATCAAAATGAAGTTATTGGACGTTTTTTTGAAAGGAAAAATTATTGGAAGTCGTTGAAATTGAATAAATTATTGGTATTAGTTTGTTTGTGGTGATTATATGTATAAATCTATACTTAGAGGTAAAACTGGAATAACAAATAATGACAAAAAAAATTTTAATGCCAACATTCTTTATATATAGAAAGATATCATAAATCTTAAATTGGACTCTTAAATCATGGACGAATACTATAAGGATATTAATAATTAGGCTTAATCCCCAATTCCGCATGTAATACTATTTCAGTAACAAATTCACCTTTTTTGGTCCAAAATTATGGTTTTCTTCATGGAGAATTGTTGTATTACTAGGGGTGAAGTTTTAAATGCCAAAAATGGCTTATATATAGATATATATATCAAAAAATGGCTTCTAGTTTTGATGTTAACAAAATCTGTCTCTTGCTTCGTCATAATCAAAATTGAAAGAAATAAAACTCAAAAATTTAATTATGAAATGTTTCTTTTAGTTTTTCCTTCTTTTCCCTCTTTTTTTTTTGGTTTCCTTTCCTTCTCCTTAAAAAAAGCTATAAGTTGTTTTTTGGCATCTAACTCATCATTCATGAGACAAAACCTCTACTAATATAACAATTCTTAATAAAACTTAAAAAAGAATATAATTTTGGACTTGAAAGGTCAAATTTAGTTTTTTGGTGCCAAAAGATTAAAACTGTGAAAGAAATAAGTATGCAAGAACATGACTCTCTCTTTTTGAAATTGAGGGGGGGGGGGGGGGGCCAATTTGTGTATTTCTTGTACACGAGGGGCAATTTGCTATTGAAGTATTATCACAATGAGGCATTTGGTGATTATACCTAATAATTATTATCATAAATCTTAAAGTGGGATCTCTTAACAATGAGTTTGATATTTTTGAGAATAGTGAAAGACTTTTCATACCTAAGTTAATGAATTTAGAAGGTGATTTAATATGCAAGTCTTAAAAACTAAAATAGAAGGTGATTTGATATGATATTGTGAACATTTGACAATGCATTTTGGCAACTTATGGTTTCTTTTTAGCCATATAGGTATGACTTGCAGCCTTGGAGCCTTGCAAACATGATTGAGAAGCAATTTGAAAGTCAACATTTTGTTTTTAAAAGCATAGCATATCAAGTTTGATTGAGCTATTAAAGTTTTAGACCCATTTTTATAATCAACTTGTACACAAAATCAAAGTGTAAGATATTGAACATACATCATGATTGAGACAAGAAAATATGTACAAAAATCCCCAACCTCTACTGATTGTTTTACTATGTCAAAGAATTGGCTTACTACTTATCAAAAAAAAGAATTGGCTTACTAGTCCGTTAAGTTGCCAATCTTCCAAGTAGTTCCAACTTCCAACATGGTGGGAAAATGGCTATGTTTTCCATTAAAAAATAATAATATGTTGTTTGTGAATATATTTTTTGCTCACCTTTTTATCTCATGTATATCAAATCATTACAATACATTATTCTACAAAAATTCCAGAAAACTGCAATCCAAACAGGACTATGCCATGTTTACACGATGATGACTTCTATTCTACCATCTTTCCAATCCCATATTTGATGTTCTATTTTGTGTCTAATATCCAAGATATGTTTCTACTATCCCGGATTCATTCATGCAAAGAATTTTTCATTCTAACAAATATATGCCCCAGAGATAAAGGATTTGCAGTTAATACATAATCTGCCAATTTTTTCCCTACCTCCTATTTTTCACTACAAACTTAAGAGTATAGAGGCGACGAGATTAGGTTGAATAAGACATAAAAAATATGCAAGCCATGAAGCCGAATATCCCAAAACTCACGAGGGATTTGTCATGTCATCCATGGTTTACTTGTACTGCCGGCCGTAGACAAAAATATTATTTCAATGTCTTGTACAATTATTAAAAGCTTCTATTTGTTTATTGTTTCCAGTGTTGAACAGCAAAACGGAAGTAAACAGCATATTAGAGCAAAAGATAATGAGGATCATGATTACAAATGGGAAGGTTCTATAAATATGTAAGTAAATTATTTAAAGTTAGGTAAGGAAGTTACTAATTCTTGCATCCTATTAGTTCCTTACCATACACGTTAATCATTTACAAATTTCACCTTTTGGATTAGCCCATTTTATTGGACTACAATTTTAATTTACATTTGGAATAAATCATTCGCTGAGAAACAGTTAAGTGGAATTGTGAAAATTCACATAATTCTTAAAGACTAATATATTTCCGTGAACTTCAATAATTTAATTTCTACATTATGGTCAAAATAAAAACCATGCTATACTCTGAAAGAAACTAGAGGATGACAAAACTACACCTAAGCCATATATAGCTTAATTATTGTCCGTTATGTGGGATAGAATTTGCATCCAACGAAAGTGTTTTAAGTACAACCGGGGAGCAATAAATTGAATGGTTCAGAATAGAGTGTAAACGAGAGATCTCAAGTTCAACCCTCCCACTCACACTAAAAAAAAAATACAAAAGGACGGAGACAAGCATTTTTCCCAACTAAACATATAAAAAGTTTACGAAACATGAGTTGTAAGTTGATCCATAATTAACCATATTTGGCATAAGTTAATCAATATTCCTACTGACTGGATCCCATCCAACTGCAAATTGAAAAAATGATGGAGACAGGCCAAAAAGGAAGCTCTAGGTTATGAACTAATCCCTAGTTATTTGTCAATTTTATTGACTTTAAACATAATATCATGAAACTCACTTTTCTGGGAACTGTGCCATATGGTTATGCCCAAACCCCAAGTGGATGATGTTCAGATAACTTCTCATTTTCCAACTCAACATCTTTAGTCGCCAAGACCTAAGATTCTTCCTTTAAAAAAAAAAAAAAAAGGACCCAAAATTCCTAGCGTAGGGCCTCAACAATTATAAGTTTCAATTTTCTAAGCTAATGTGTATATGCTGACACAATGAACTTAGGCACCAAAATAACAATAATAATATGACAAAATTTGTCCCTTCTTGAAATATGTGTTCCAAACATCAAAAAACCTCTCCTACTCAATGACCTTGTTCTCAATTTATTTTCAATTCCTGATTTAAGATTTTGATTTTCAATTTATTGTGCTTTCAACTGATTTTTTTTTATCCTGAATTTGGATTTTTTTGAACTAAAAAAAATCAAAAACATCTATTTTCATGGTTTTTTATTCTGATTTTTCAAAATCAATCTTTACACAATCAAAAGCAGCTAGGGAACAAGGCTAATACCTCTTAAAAGTAATCCATGGAAAAGAATAAGACCAAGAAAAGAAACCCCCAACCTACTTAGTAGGGTTTCAAGGGCATATTAGTCACTTAAAAGCTTAATGAATAATTATGATTAAGACAGCAATTAGTGCTTGATTTGTAATTATAAGTAAGATACTTAAAGAAAAGTTATTGCCAGCTAAGCCACTTGTATTGGGAGGACACAACGTGTCAGGCTCATAATAAATTGGTCATTGGGGCCCACATTTTGGTGCTTGACACGTGGTCCCCGTCGGATAATAGCAAAGCAGTTATTCGGACTTAACGGAGAACTGACGCCAGACGGCTGCTAACTGACGGTGAGTTGTCGTCATCAATCATCATGGGTTGGCATCTAATCTAGCAGAGGTTGACGGTCGAAGGTGAAGACGTCAGCTGACCGTGAGTCACACGCACGTGGTGGCTGTGGATCAGACACGTGACGGTGGAAATTTGTCCGCTAACACCTCATCACTTCTGTGTGGGAATTTTTAATATGAAATTTTCTAATATGAATTTTAAAAAAATTTTTTCCTACTATGGGAGGATGAAATTTAAAAACGATTATTAAAACAGGATATTAAAGGTTAAAACTCAAAATCTCTACGTTTTAAGGTTTCAACCTTTAACATGAATTCAACTTTTGATCAGTGGTTAATATTATTTGAAATATATCATCAATAATATTTGGATAGAGTATTCTTTAAATTATTATTTAAAATAATTACCATAACACATTTTTGTAATTTGATATACGTGAGTGAGATAAAAGGATAATTAAAAATATATAAAGGCAATTGAAAAATGTGTTTATGATACAAACAAAATAATAATTAAAAAATATTTTTATCAAAAAACACACTAGAGTTGCTTGATATTAAGGATTTGTAGCACAACCCATCTATAAAATGCGTAATTTTTTTCTTTAGCGTCGTGCGTACACAGACTAAATGTGTGTACACCTGTATGATTTTTTTTTTTTTTTTGGATGTATACGCATATTATAATATGTTTGGCATATTGAATTGAAAATTTTGTTGGGCATCTAATCCCAATATTAAAGGTAAAATAAAATTAAACCAAATGACCATTATGGTATAGCTTTTACCCTCTTTTATGTCATCATGCATCCTTCTGTGTCACTCAGCTCCTCTCAAATGTAAACCTAAGAATAGTATATATCAAGGGATACAATCCTTTAACTTGCATTATAAAAAATTTAGACTTTTCTTAAAAAATTCGCTAGCGAATGCGTAGGCATCCGTTTGAATTGATGGTTATTCAGTTCCCTCCGAGTTCTCCTTTGACCCTGCAAGTCCTCCCCTCTCCCTAATATAGAGTAGAAGTATATGTAGAATAGAATCTATGGTGTCTGGAAAAGAAAAAAAAAATCCCCTTAAATGTAGGCTAACACATGATTTTTCCAAGCAATGTTCTCCAAAAGGAAAAGAAAAGAATAGCAAAAGAAAGAGATAAAAAAAAAAGGAAAAAAATAAAAATAATCAAAGTTACAAAGATAATTTTGTCCAAACACATAATGAACTAAATAGTTTAAACCAAACACATCATGTACGGAGTTAAGTGCCTATTAAAACAACTCTAAGGTGGTCAAGTATATTTGATGCTAATATTACCCAATCTCTTTGTCCGCCTCTTCATCCATACCCCACTTCTGGAAAAAGAAGGAAAAGATCCAAAGAGACACTGAAACTGGCAAGAATTTACTTTTAAGGATAATTTTTTCTTCCCAGCTTTGCAATCTACGTTATAGACTGTACAGCTTCTAGCTTCTGATCTTTTGGACATAAATCAGGAATTCAGCTGTTTCAAGGAAACATGCCCTCAAGATATTCATCAATGTTGTCATCATCATTGTCATTGTCATCCCTTATTGAAGTTGAAGCCTTTCTCCCTGCAAAGAAACATGCAAGACAAGTATAAGGAAGCTAACCCTGAGATAAGAAATAAGACATCGTTTTAGATATTTTATTTTTCATGTGAAAGTTCCGAAATCAGCAACGTATTGAATCTGCTAGGCAACATATTGATCCTGCAAATAGTGCATCAGTTAAATAGCTAAGCCACCCGTGAAAAGTGCAGATAGAGGCTAAATGGTTTTTCAGACAAAACCCTGGCCACCAAATGGGGTTTCTTGTCCACTGGAAGACATGAAACTACTTGACAACATCCATATCTATTACAGTAGAGCTAAAAGATGCCCAATACATGAACATATGAGGCCATGCACGAAAGCTACAGACCGCGTCTATTACAGTGAAAAAATAGCTTCACCAAACTTTTAGCTTCTCTACGTTGTAATCGAAGTATTCAGACATAGCAATACTATCTGTACAGAATTAGAAACTTGGCTAAAGCTAATTGACACGTGCTTATTACACAGCTAGTACTTAACAAGAGGTGAATGCATAACACAAAAGCAAAAGGTTGGGTCTAAATTCTCCCATCATAATGGACAGGAAATATTGAGAAGATTCAAGTCAAAGAACACACCAAAAATTTTTCACAATCAAAACTATATACCATAGAGAAAACTTAATGGATGCAAGTTCCTGCAATTAGTAGATGTCAATTTCCTTACTATTTCATGGCTTTTACTTTTTAGCAAGTCCTTAGTCGAGATAACTAGATTTTTCTAAGAACGGTTTCTTTTATATGTTTGTACCAGACTGAGCCTTGATAGATGCAGAAGTTGTATGCACTCTTTGGTCTTTAAATATTTCAAGTAACTTGTAACAGTTAAGACATGTTCAATTCAGTAAACAAAATATCACAAGTGCATGACACGTGACCAAAATTTAAGAATTTAACTATAAGAAGGGTTAAAACTTGTTCGAGATTGTTAAGAAAATGCTCGTGTCAGAGACAAGTCCCGTGAAGACAGCCACCCATACTTCATAGGCGTTGAAGAATTAACTGCATTAAAGTGCAGACATTAATGTAGGTAAACAGCATTGGAATCAACTAATAAATTTCAGAAAGCACCAAAAATTAAAATCAGCAACAATTCAGAGAGAAAACTTCAAGTGAAAATCAGCAACAAATTGTTCCAAATAAATGGATCACTTTCAAAGTTTCAGTTTCATTTGTGTTTTTCTTTCTTTGAAAAACTATTATGCTTTAAAGAAGGCCAAAAACGTGCCATATGAAGGACACCACCTGCTAAAAAATCAAGGTCCCAATGTGTGACCAAATACTGACACGTTCCTCCTACTCCTGTATCAGAAATAAGGACGGCTAATTATGTTCTCAACTATCTAATTAAGAACCCACTTCATCCATTATTCTGACATGCATACTGTCATACAATAAAATTGTTAATATCAAACCTTTTCTCTTATCCTTCCTCCTGTCATAATGACTGTCTGAATCATCATCACTTTCTGATCTTTCCCTGGAAATATGCCAGAAATCAGAGGAATGAGAATAAAAGAATCTTGTGGATGTAGGTATCAGATGGCTAATGAGATGCACCTTTTCCTTGAATGCTCTACATATTCCCTCTGTACTGATTGTTTTTTCTCTTTCTGGTTCTTGTAAAGAAGCTTTTCCGCACATCTGTTTTGAACAAAACGTATAAGATGCAGCTGTCAAAATGAAATATAAATTTCACCAGGTTGTTAACCCACCAAATTATGACCTGAAGATGAAGTATTTTATTTTACTTTTTGATATCAAACATGAGATTTTTTTAATGTACATCCGCCACCGCAGCGAAGATTGCATCAGATGGAAAACAATCCTACTAAACAGCACGATGAACAAGGGAAAGAGCACTAAGAGCCAAAAGATGAGCAGAAACATTTCCTTTCCACTTATCATGTACTCCAGAAACCTGATCAAAATCAAAAAGTAACATTCTCACTTCATGAACCAGGTGTCCAATCACTCAGAGATCATCTTTAGTGTCATTAATCTTCCAAACAATATTAAGAGAGTCCCCTGCAATGACTAAGTGACTGATCCAAACATTGTTCACAAAGAGGAGCTTTAAGAAAAGCTAGAAGCATAACATGACTAACATCTAAAGCATCATAAATTCTTTCTGTGAAAGCTACTTGAACAATCCCAGAGTGGTCCTGAACTGCTGCTCCAATTCCCGTAACATCACCATGAAAAGCCCCATCCACATTAATTTTAAGCGCCTCAGACCCAGGTGGTATCCATTATCTTGCCACCATCCGCCCTAAATTTGTATTCAATCATGTCAATATTTTGCTTTAAGCTAGACAAATATTTTTAACACCGTTGACACAGAATCATGAACCAGGGATGAAACTAAAATGTCTTGTTTTTTTCTACCCATTCCTGAAAGATCTGTAGTTCCCTAATGTTGTTGGATCTATGCTAAATTGATTTCTCAGAGGTCTTAATAGTCATGAAATATAAGCAGAAGCTACTAAAAGAGCAATGCTCCTGATGTAGCATGGGAAGCATATTGACATTAACTTTGATTTCAAAACTTAGTGGTAGACCCTTTAAGAATCGGAAGATAGTTTCAGAACTTTTAGATCTGAAGTCTGAGAATGGGAGTTTAGAAGTAGGATTTGAGGAGGAAGCAAGAGAGTAAGAGAATTAAGAAGCTCTAGGGATCCAAACAAGATTTGCCTAGGTTTATTTACTTAGTGACGTTGTTCTCAATTCTCAAGGAAATCACAAAACTACATAAACTCGACATAACTTCATATGTCAACTAGGTTCTGATCTCCCAAATACACTTCCTTACTTTGCCAACAAAAGCACTTCTTACTCTAATGCTATTAAAAATGTTGCTTAAATATAGATATGATATCTCCTAGCTACACATTTCCTAACTTCTCAGCTAATATATTAAAGAGAAAAGCTAGTCTTCAAGGCAAAGTCTTCTCAAGGACTAAGAAAATGTTGTAACTAAGTAAACCTAATCACTACAAGGGCTAAAAGCTATAGGTTTAAGAAGCCAAAATGAATTTGACAACTCTGGTAGTTTAACTTCCTCTAGGACAAAATACTAAGTACTACGATATCCAAATGACCCTCAAGCAATTCGGAAAATCCAAAATTCCATTGAGTTTTTAGAATTATCCAAACATCATTATAGACCCCTATGAACTCTGCATCAGCTCCTGTTATTGACCTGTCTCTGTCTTTGAAATTCAGACAGATACCAATATAAGTTGAGTCTTCCAATATTGCCAGGGGACAGAAACACTTGAACAGAGGTCAAAAACAACTTTGCTGGGTAGTCAATTCATAAGGTTCTACAGAAAAGCCAGTCCTGAAACAGCCAGATAAGCTTACTGTGTAAGCACAAAGTAACTGCTAAGTATCACTGATCCATTGTGCTTCTTGTGCACAAAAAGCAAAATTTGTGTCATTTCAAAGAAATAACTTGAGGCAACCCAGAAACACTTACTTTGTAAAAGTAAATTTGTTCATCATCAGCAAATTAAAAGTTGTGATTTTCAGTAACAAAACAACCTAAAAATTTAACTAAAAATGGGCAAACTTGTACGAAATAGAAACAAGCATCTTACTTTTCACATGTCACCAATTTCACCAGGGCTTGTTTGTTTTCTCCTGCTTCAAAATAAGAAAAGTTCACCTGCATTTACAGCAAATTTAATGGAATAAAAAGTAAAATAGGAAATCCAACTATTGAAGAATTTTATATAAATGTTCAGATTCCAGCCTGTTCATACAGTCTTCCCATAATTATAACAGTGAACTCTCTACACAAAATCACCAACTTCAGACTGTATAAACTAAAACAGCCACTATGTTAAATAATTTTTGTACTTCACTACCAGATCCACAGCATTAAAAAAAGGAAGGCCAATCCAAAAAATATTGATATAATCTCAATCTGTATAATGCCATTATTTAATCCTTGAAGTTTTTTCAAATCACAATCATATAGGCATTATTTGTTCCTATAGTTTAAACTTCAATGACTAACTAAATTTGAGTGCAACAATAACCTAACAGAAAATTAGCTAGACACTTGATCCAAAAAACCAATATCTTATTTAATTAGATATGCTCAAGCTCCCTAGGCCAATTTTGTGAGGCTCTTTAGTCGGCTGACTTCCTAAGTTTTCTTAGCTTCACTAAGCCTTTCAAGCTTTTTTCCATGTATCTGTAAAACACGATATCTTTATCCACCCTTGACTGTAGTAGATGTTCAGAAATGCTTCTCTGTTCTACGTACCATTATATCACTTTAAGATGGAAGCACACCGTAAATTCTAGGAAAAACTTGCTCGCTCCCTTCTTGTTGGCCACACATATGTAAATAGTAATACTCAATCCATCAGCTGTCTCTTCCTAACAGAAGAGAAAGAAAGCCCCTTGGCATGCCTTTTGACTTACTTATCCCACAGTGCCACTTAAAAGAGGCTTTGTTGATGCATCAGTATATTTTTGAGGTACCACTATGCAAGATGTGATAAACCTTCACCCCCCCCTTCTTCCTCCTCTTCACCATCCTCTCTCTCTCTCTCTCTCACACACACACACACACCTACATCCTGCTGCCAAAAACCTCAAGCAAATATTTAGATGTTCAAACCTATGTCCTTTAAGCAATTTAAAACAAGAGCAGTCCACATCCTTTGTTCTCAACAAGGCAATCCTACTGCCATTTACAAAATGGCTAAGCACGCAAGGTTCCAAACATTTGGAACTCGGGCCAAGTTTCCTCCGTTTGGATTTGCTATTTTTGGGGATGTTTTCTAAATATTTTACTGTAACAGTGTATATGAAAAACTTTTACTATAGATATGTTTTTTGTGATTTCTTGGAGGGTTATTTGGAATATATTTTGGGGTAACTTTTAAAATTAAAATATTTTTATGTCACTTTTTAAAAATTACTACTATCACCCACAACCACCACTGCCACTATCCCCACCCACCCACCGCCACCACCACCCCCTCCCTCTTCCTCCTCCTTCCTCTCCTCCACTCTTCCCCCTCCCTTTTCCCCTTCCCCCCACCACCTGGCCCTCCCTTCCCCCTCCATCTAGTCTCGACCAAATTGAGGCCTCTGGTCTCCAGATCGCGACCAAAAAGTTGTGACAACTAGAGGCCTCGATCTGGGGGTGGGAGGGAAGGAGGAAGAGTGTGGGGGAGAAAGGAGGAGAAGGAAGAAAGAGGGGGTGGTGGAGGCGGTGGGTGGGTGGTGGTGGTGGGTGAAAAATGTTGTAGAATTTGATTTTTTTTAAAATTTTTTTTTGTGTATATATGTGAGTTGTATGGATCATATGTTTTTTAAGTTGTTTTTTGTTTGTGTATGACTATACCTTTGGCTTCTCTATCTAATAAAATTGGCTAATTTATCATGAAAATATATATGATGCATATTTACATGGATGTTGAGTCAAGGGACCATAACTCTTCACTGTTTAAATATGGGGGATCCAGGTTAGTCCAAGCTAAGAAGTTAAAGCTGTTAAAAATGTTTCATAAGACCTTTGCTGTGTCCACAGGCTGAAATCAGGGACTAGTAATGCTAACATGCCAAATCAAACAGATTCACATAAGAAAACATATCCAAATAGGTTATATGCAATGGATACATGTATCTAATATAACACTTAATTCCTCTACCCACTGAAAGTGTAATGCTTTCCCTTTTGGAATGTCCCAAAACTTTAGTCATCTTACCAAAGTCAACGTTAAAATGGGTGGTGGAGCGGTGGTGGAGATTGGGAGAGGACGAGATGGTTAGGGGTCTGTTGCCTGGTGACAATTATTGATGAAGAAAAGGAGCAAAGGAGTTCCCTGAGGTGGAGAGCGGGTAACGGGAAGGTGGGTCTAGGCATTTTCAGTGTGTGCAGTCCATGTACTACAGGGGAATGAGGAAAGAAAAGAAAAAGGAAAGAAAGAAAAAGAAAGAGAAAGAGAAAAAGAAAGAAAAAAAAGAATAGGAAAAAAAGTTTTTTATCTTAAAAAATTTTTTCAAAAACTTCTACAGTGTACTACAGTAAAGTTTTAGACAAACTTCTAAAAAACTCATGTTCTAAACGGGGCCTAAGTTTTAGCTTTGTTTTCTGATTTTGCTGCTTTCAAAATCACTATTAGAAACAAGAATGTGTGGTTATTAGTAGTCAAGGAGACAGAAATGACATGTGGGGCCAAAACTACCTACAAGAAGTCCAATCTGCCAACGAGAGTGATATTCATGCATTACTTTAAACCTTGTGTGTATCTCGCGAATGTCTTGCAACTTTTGTTAATAGTAAATGAAAATCAAGGGGCCTACTTATAAAAGTAAAGAATGAGGGGATCTTGAAGGTAAAAATTGAAACAAAAGAAATTTTGTTTTCCATTTTGAGTATGTGACATATATTTTGGGACAAATCAAAAAGGAAAGTATGACACTTTTAATGGGACGGAGAGAGTAATAAATTCATAATAATTGTAGAATGCACTATACAAAAAAAAAATTTATGGTATCACATAGATTAACAATTGCAAAAATTAATTTCATAGTGGCATATTAGATTGCAATCATTGATCATTTTTTATATAGTTAGGTTTGTTTAAAGAGGAGTTTGTAAAAACAAAAATTCATAGTAGATGTGCTTTTCATAAACATTGGTACTTTTGGGATACTTCTAATTTTTATGAGGTTTATGAGGTGCTTTAAAGACAACCTCTATTTTTTCTCCACCACCCATCACTACTCTCTTTCCTTTTTGGCTTCCACATTGGTCACTATCTATCTCCTACCCCTGCTTTCCTTCCACCTACCTTGCTCTTTTACCCTAGCACTTCCTACCATACTCCATTTCCTCTTTCTTCCTTCCTATCACCATTTTCACTTGCCTCCACCATCTTTTGCAACCTTACCCAAAACCTAGCTAGTAGCCTCTACTCTATTTCCCCAACACCACCAACTAGTGCCCCTTTAGCAACTAATCTATTCATTGTTATACCCGATTTTAATGTGTTAAAAATATGATGCATGATTTTTGCAGGTGCATATTATAGGACAACAAAAAATCTTGTAGATTGAACTAGATAGTGGAGTTCTTGTAGTGCTACATACACAGATGCTAGGAAAAGGTTGATAACTTATGAATTGTGATGGAAAAGATGGGAAGCGAAAGGAAAGGAGGTTAGGTAAAGGCTTTCATCTAGTGATGAAGAAGTGGGAGGATTGGCAGGAGATTGCTAGGATGGGAAAAGAAGAAAAAAAGGAGAGAGAGAGACAGAGTTGTAGGGTAAGGGTGGAGAAAGATCGAAAGAGGTGAGAGGCCAGACACAATAGCTTAAAACCCGTCCGGATTTCTATTTTTTACTCCCTCCATCTGTTATGGAGAAACATCTTGAAAAAACCCATTAAAGAGCCTAATATGTAAGTCAGGAATCCAATTCTGATTCAACTCTGACCCAAGAGCTTAAGCTATTAAATTTCGGATCCTTACTTACATATTAATTGCTCTTTTTCCATCTCACATAATCTTTTACTCATGAATCTAACAAATCTCCTTCTTCATGAGTAACCCTTCACATTAAACAGAATTTTACAAACTCTTCTTCAATCCCACTTTAATACTCAATGCAAACGCACCTTAACATATAAGGTTACCTCTTTTCCCAATCATGGACCCACGCGAGCGTACCTTAATACCTAAGGTCATATCGTCTCCCAATCATGGATTAACTCTTCTTCAGCAACCTTAATACTAGATTTTGGACCTTTGCCAACTCTTGGTTTCTTGGTTTAACTCCAATCGAACCCTCTGCCAAATTCATGGCGCACCTAATTCAACACCAATCAAACTCCTTGATATTTTGGTTCATATTAAGAAGAGAAATTTTATCGGTCCAACTTAAAAAAGAATCCACTTGCCCATGTGTGCTCCAAACTCACAACTTAGAACTCTGATACCACTTGTTAGGAAGAAATATCTCGAGAGATCTCATCAAAGAGTCCAATATGCAAGTAAAGAATCCAATTCTGACTCAAAAACTTAAGCTACTAGGTCTCTATCCGTTACTTACATATTAACCGCTCTTTCTCCATCTCTTGAACCAATGTGGGAATAATCCTTTACTCATGAATCTAACACTGTCCCATTAAAGTTGACATACTTTTCTTTTTAATTTGTCCCAAATTAATTATCATATACCCAAAATAAAAAGTTTGTTTTCATCCAATTTCAACGTTTACTTGCCTGAAATATGGGTGAAAGCAAAAAGGAAGCACCACAATATGGTGGCATTCCCAAAAGCGTGTCATGAGTTGTTTACACATATTCTTTTGTCACATGCATTTTTTAGATAAACAAAATAGATGGGCCCACAATAATAGATTTTCAACATATTTTTTCTTTATATATGTTACAAATTAGAAGGCAAAGATGAAAATTGAAGCACAATTTGCCAGATTCAATACACTATTGATAAAAATCACAACTTCCCAAGTGCAACAAATTTATTGAGATGGAGAGATTAGAGTTTTTGTAGAAAAATGTACTATATCAATTTGATGCATGCGAGATAAAAATATGATTAAAAAATATCTTCATGAAAAATGCAAAAATTTTTGGGTGTGAAATTGCAATCCAAACAAGGACTTAGTTAATAGATCAACAGTTAATTATTATTTTACAAATGTAAAATTGATCTCAAAATAATTTAGTTATCAAATTAACAAATAATTACTTTTGACGTAGCAAGATAATTAGGCCTAATTATTCTTTTGTCTCGTGCTTAGTCTTATTTTCACTAATGCTTCTAAACTATGTAAATTAAGGAGTCATTTGATTTATATTATTATACCATTGAAAATAAAATTGAGTTATAATATAAGATTTAGTTAGCTAAGGATCAAGAAGTAGTTAAGCTTTTGAATTGTTTTTAATATGTAACAAACACATATCAATTATATTACACTATTGCCTATAATTGATAAGTAGTGAATTACCAAAATAAATAAATGAAGACTTATACTCCCTCCGTCCCATTGTTAATGTCATGTTTTCACTTTTTTGTTGTCCCAAAATAAGAGTCTCATGGCAAAAGTCAAATAACTTTCACTACTACTTTCCTTTTATACCCTTAGTAATAATGACAAGATTCCATCAACTAATAATAAACAATTACATATGGCCCACCACAACACATGCACACTTTCACCATTCTGTGACCTTTTGCTTTTGGCCGGCTATTTTCGTGTGATAGACAAGGGGTAAAACTGGAAGAATATGAAAAGTGCAGTCCACCATTTTACTGTGCATAAAAAGTGCTATTCCCGAAAAACGTCCCAAATTTTGGGACGGAGGGAGTATATATTATTGAATGATTACTTTTGTAGTGCTGAAATTTTAATTTTGTATACTATAGTATGAACAAATTTTTGGAATAATTTTCCATAAGATAATTTAGTTTTTTTTGGTATTATTGTATGACCAAAATACAAAAGATGTTAAAAAGAAAAAAAGACCTATAGTGGAACACACAACTTCATTTTTAGTTCTACTAAACAAAGATTTTATATTTTGTAAATGTTATTTTGTTTTCATTTTTAGAAAGAAGAAGGGAGATACCATAAATATACATGGATGTATTTGAACTAGATGCAAAATTAAAGTGATCTAAACATGCATTAACTTTTTATGAGATAATAACTTGGGCCATATTTGTTGGATCCTTAATCTAACGTTGGATTTATATGTGAATAATTATGTGTTACAAACTGTCAAATAAGGTTAAGTCCAATTAAAGTGATCAAATATGGTTTGAACTTAATGTATCTAATAGGGTGTGGACCTTTGATGTGTAGAGATTTAAGAGTATTTCCTATTTCTGTGATGGGCTGAAATAGGGATCTAAAGGGTAACAGGAATGTTATCTATAAATAGGGTTACGGTCCCCAAGTC